CATCAATGAACCTTTCAGGGTAAAATTCTTCCACATTTTCTGACCATACTTTAGGATCTCTCCCAATGGCCCAAGTGTTATTAAGATTCTCGATTTCTTGGGTATGTCAAATCCTTCAACTGTAATGTCCTCCATGGATTCATGTGGGATTAGCAATGGTGCAACTGGGTGCAGCCTCAAGCTCTCCTTGACCACCACGCTCAAGTAATCCAACTTCGGTAAGTCACTCTCTTCCACCATTCGGTCCATTCCAATAACACTTTGGAGCTCTTCCTGGAGATGCTTCATTACCCTGGGATGCCTCAAGAGCTCCGCAAGGGTCCAAACTATGGCAGTAACTGAAGTATCGAAGTCACCCGAAATCATGTCTAGTAAGATGGCTTTCACATTTGTTCGTTCCATCATGTAGACCTTCTCATCGTTGGGATTTAATGGTTGGTGTGTCAATGAAAGCAGCACGTCCACAAAGTCCTTGTGACTATGGCCTTGTACTTGCCCACTCTTAGAAACTTGTTCATGTTCCCCACTAATCTTTTTGAAAAGTTGGTCAATTGTCTTGCTAATTCTCTTCATGCGCTTGGCTAATCCCTATATGATAGGAAGATACGGTTAAGATATATAATATTTCTTAGGATCAATGATACAGTAAAATTGCTAGTCCTCGAACGAAACATAGAAAATAAAAGAAAACTAACTGCACCAAAAACCTACAACAGTTGAACAGCAACTTCCTATAGTTTAGCCTCAGAGCAGTCACACACATCATGACAGTTAGAAAACACAATCCCCAAATTCAAATGTTGTTTTCAGTACTTGACGAAAATGATCACAACAACAATCAAAGATGTCAAGAAAACATATGGAGGTAGCATATTTCCCTCAAAAGAAAATGCACAGGCTCAAAAACTCACAATGGTACAAGTCTCCTCCACTAATTATCATGTGACTCCCCAACTCATGCAAATTCCTTAACCAAGAATGGGATCAACACAGCTATGTGAAAATGTATTGTTTCTAGCATAAGCATCATAGAACAAATCTGGAAAAAGTATAATTACTCCCCAAAACAGACACATAATTTTCATCAAAAATTACAATGCCAGTATGGGTTTTTCAAAGCATTTCCCAATTGCTTACGCCATGTAGAAACTGGAGCTCATCATTACACTACCAGGCCATATATAATTTTCATCATATATATCTTTTACGTATTATAATATGAATACTACCTGGCCGGCCCAATCCTGATTGGAGCCATATGCATAAGAACCTTGCCATTAACGAAAATAATTGATATAATGTGAGAAGGATATGGCCAATCTTTCATTTATTTCATATTATTTGTGTTTGTGATCTTGCAGTGGTTGGGGCAGATGCTTCAGGGTTACTATGTTCTCCTACTCAGGTTCGATGGTCAAGCTGCTACTAGGAGGATTCATCCTTTTGGCTGAAGAAGCGTTTATGTTTATTGGTTTATACCCGCCAGTTAATTGGTAAGAAATGCTGCAGAAGATATAACTTTCAAATGAATTGTTTGTGATGTCTCCTTTTTCTCTGTCTTTCTTGTCTCTTGGATCTGTTGGTCTATGGATTCAAAATCGTTTGTGAAAATACATTATGATTTTTATTTTCTGCTGTGGCACCAGACCAGTCATTCTCATCTATAGCAATGCGTTTTTTGTTTTCTGAAAGTCATGAAGATGAATGTACTACTGTTTTCTTTGATAACAATGATGCTAATGGTTATTGGGATATGGAAATGTTCTATTTCATGCTTGTACATCTTTGTTGTATCTGTTTCACGCATGGGTAAATTCGATCGTGTTACAATTTTTATATGTACTAGGTTATCACAAAACTAAAGTATATGATGGAAATATAAAGTGAGGCAGAGAGTGTTTGTAAAACAGAGAATTATTCAAACTGATTTTTGTTAACTTCTTTTCTGCTACAGCAGCCTATAACATTGGCTATATATAATAACACTCAGACCTTTTCATAAACAGACATAACTCTTGGATTAGTTCCAAGAGTTGCACACACAACACTAGACTTCTAAAGAGATACGACTCTTCCGAAACATAGCTCTTTTCAAGAGACACAACTCTACTTAACAACTGATACAAATGCATTACGTTTAACATATTTAGCGTAGGCGGTAGATTGGCATGACAAGCAAGTGTTTGGTTTTTGACAGCGATAAGCCGAATGTCTCAGTCATGTCCACATCTTCAGGTTTCAGGCCACTTGGGAGGTCTCAGTTAAAGCAGCGGACCAAGTTTGCGAGAACCAGCTGGACTGTGGTTAGCCCTAATTGCATAGCAGGGCACCCTCTTCGACCATACCCAAATGGTAGGAGCTGGAAGTCATATCCTCGAAGGTCAACATTGCCATCAATGAACCTTTCAGGGTAAAATTCTTCCACATTTTCTGACCAGACATTAGGATCTCTCCCAATAGCCCAAATATTTATAAAGATTGTCGATTTCTTGGGTATGTCATGTCCTTCAACCGTAATGTCCTCCATGGATGCATGTCGGATGAGCAATGGTGAAACTGGGTGTAACCTAAAGCTCTCCTTGAGCACCATATTCAAGTAACCCAGCTTTGGCAAATCACTCTCTTCCACCATTTGGTCCGTTCCAATCACACTCTGGAGCTCTTGCTGGAGATGCTTCAAACTATGGTGGTAGCTGACATATCGAAGGCACCTGAAATCATGTCTAGTATGATGGCCTTCGCATTTGTGCGGTCAATCATGTAGACTTGCTCATCGTTGGGATTCAATGGTTGGTGCATTAACGAAAGCATCACGTCCACAAAGTCCTTGTGACTATGGCCTTGGTGTGCTTGCCCAACTTTAGAAACTTCTTGGTGTTCCCCAATTATCTTCTCTAAGAGTTGGTCGATTGTCTTGCTAAGTCTCTTCATGCGCTTGGTCAATCCCTATATTATATTAAGAGGAAGATACGGTTCAGATACATATATATTCCTTAGTTAGGAATCAATCAATTACACAGTTCTAGTATGAGCATGGACAAAGACATGCATGATGCATAGGCTGGGACCCATACGCAGGGCCTCGCATGTGGGTCCCACTCAATGTGAGAGGGATGTTACCCTATTTCGAGAGAAATTATAAAGTGATACAGTATCATCACGTCAGCTGGAGATACTCCCACTCAAAATCTGCCATTTGTCTTTTTTGAAAAGAAAATTAAATTTTTTTCACTGTCGGACTTTGTCTTCCAACTTTACCCTAAATAAAATAAAATAAAATTTGAAAAAACAGGAAAAAGAAAACAAGAAGACTGTAGTAGTTCCCCCTATCGACAATCTATCTACCTTGCACTGCCGCCCCTTGGCTGCAATCCCCCTCCAATAATATCAACATCAAACATACCCTTCTTTCACTAGTGGGTTGTCGTCTTGGGAGATTTTGAAGATTTTTGTTTTATATTTAATGGGTTTGCACTGATTTTCAAGATTTCTGGGTTTTCTAAATACTTTTAACTTTTTACAAATGGGAGGCACGGAAAGCCAAGGTGGGTGGCGAGGGAGGAGGGAAGACGATTGGGTGGCGAGGGAGATGCAAAGACAGCTAGGTGGCGTGATAGCACAAGGAAGACGGAGGAGAGGGGTTAGGGTATTAATGTTGAAGGGTAAACTTGTAAGACAAAGTCCAGGTGTAAATTATTTTTAATTTTCTTTTCAAAAAGGACACATGTCAGATTTTGAGTGGGAGTATCACCAACTGACGTGGTGATACCGTATCACTCTATAATTTCTCCTATTTCGAATGTCAAGCAATCTTAAAGTCTCACATGTAGCGGTGCTCTTAGTGTATGGATTTTTCCCGAAATATGGTTACACAGTATTTAGCAAGAATTTAAATCTACATATAAAATTAACAATTGCTTGAGAGCAACGCCAAGCATATGAGCATGAAGCCAACGGAAACAAATTATATATTATAGACAGGAGGATACGGGCCAATCTTTCATTTGTATTATTATTGAGTAGTTATGCATGATCAAGAACAAGGTGGCGAATGTCATGATTGTGTGAGAACTAGTCAAAGGAGTGACAACTAGTACTACTGGTTGGCTGATAGATAGATGGATGAGTGAGCGTTCCGACAATCAACAACATACCTGAAAATCGAATGGACTGAGGAAAGGCAAACAATCACTAATGTTGACTGCTCCTATCAACAACACGAGCTCCTCAATAATTCCCTTCATATCACACGTATCATCATTTTTGCTCCCCAACACCATCCTAGACGTTATGTCCTTAATCAGCTCACCAACCTTCTCACTAAGATCCACAACTTGGCCCTCCGCTGCGGCTTTCTTCAGCGACTCAACCAACAAACCCACCTCTTCCCTCCTCAACGGAGCAAAAGTCTCAATCTTCGATGGACAAAGAAGCTGCAGTGTGCACAACTTCCTAATATGCCGCCAGTACGGACCATATTCACTGAAAGCCATGTCCTTTGAGCCGTAAAACAAGTAATCGGAGGATTGGACTTTGGGGCGGCTGGCAAAAATGGTGTCATGGGATTTCAAGAAGAACTCTGCAGCTTCAGGGGATGAGACCACTATGGTGGTTTTGGTGCCTAGACGCATGGATATTATGGGTCCATATTTTTTGGCCAAGTCTCGAAGGCTGCGGTGTGGGAGGTTGCCTAATATATGGAGATTACCAATCAGTGACGAAACCAGGATTTCATGTGTGTATGAGCCTCTTACAAATTATAAAAAATCAAAAATTCGAACTCATAATACATACACAAAATAGTGTATATATATATCACATATGTCAAGAATTATATTGCTTATTGGTTGCAATTATAATTGTTCTCAACAAACAAAGGGATAGACAAATACATTCTAAACAAGAAAAATTACAAGAGATAGACAAAAAGTAGCAATTTAGCAAATATCTTTAAAGCTTTTTCCCCCATTAAACCCAATAGGGGGTACTTAAGCTCTATATATATGTATATATCATGCTCTTGATACATTTCGTTAATCCACTCCTCCTAAGTAAGAGTTTTAAGGAAATATAATTAAGCATATCAATTACAAATAGATGAATGTCTTTGAAGTCTGATCCGAACTATAAAAGTTGATTGCATAGGCGGTAGGTGGGCATCGCAAACAAGTGTTTGGCTTTTGACAGCGATAATCCGAATTTCTCAGTCATGTCCAAATCTTTAGGTTTCAGGCCACTTGGGAGCTCCCAGTTAAAGCAATGGACCAAGTTTGCTAGAGCCAGACAAACTGTGGTTAGGCCTAGTTGCATAGCAGGACACCCTCTTCGACCAGACCCAAATGGTAGAAGCTGGAAGTCATGCCCTCGAAGATCAATATTGCCATCAATGAACCTTTCAGTGTAAAATTCTTCTACATTTTCTGACCATACTTTAGGATCTCTCCCAATGGCCCAAGTGTTTATAAAGATTCTCGATTTCTTGGGTATGTCGAATCCTTCCACTGTAATGTCCTCCATGGATTCATGTGGGATTAGCAATGGTGCAACTGGGTGCAGCCTCAAGCTCTCCTTGACCACCATGCTCAAGTAACACAACTTCGGTAAGTCACTCTCTTCCACCATTCGGTCCATTCCAATCACACTCTGGAGCTCTTCCTGGAGATGCTTCATTACCCTGGGATGCCTCAAGAGCTCCGCAAGGGTCCAAACTATGGTGGTAGCTGAAGTATCGAAGGCACCCGAAATCATGTCCAGTAAGATGGCCTTCACATTTGTTCGTTCCATCATGTAGACCTTCTCATCGTTGGGATTTAATGGTTGGTGTATCAATGAAAGCAGCACGTCCACAAAGTCCTTGTGACTATGGCCTTGTACTTGCCCACTCTTAGAAACTTGTTCATGTTCCCCAATTATCTTTTCGAAAAGTTGGTCAATTGTCTTGCTAATTCTCTTCATGCGCTTGGCTAATCCCTATATGATAGGAAGATACGGTTAAGATATATAATATTTCTTAGGATCAATGATACAGTAAAATTGCTAGTCCTCGAGAGACACATAGAAAAGAAAAGAAAACTAACTGCACCAAAAACCTACAACAGTTGAACAGCAACTTCCTATAGTTTAGCCTCAGAGCAGTCACACACATCATGTCAGTTAGAAAATACAATGCGCCCAAATTCAAATGTTGTTTTCAGTACTTGACGAAAACGATCACAACAACAATCAAAGATGTCAAGAAAACATATGGAGGTAGCATATTTCCCTCAAAAGAAAATGCACAGGCTCAAAAACTCCCAATGGTATAAGTCTCCTCCACTAATTATCATGTGACTCCCCAACTCATGCAAATTCCTTAACCAAGAATGGCATCAACATAGCTATGTGAAAATGTATTGTTTTTAGCATAAGCATCATAGAACAAATCTGGAAAAAGTATAATTACTACCCAAAACTGACACATAATTTTCATCAAAAATTACAAAGCCAGTATCGGTTTCAAAGCATTTCTCAATTGCTTACGCCATGTAGAAACTGGAGCTCATCATTACACTACCTGGCCATACATAATTTTCATCATATATATCTTTTACGTATTATAATATGAATACTACCTGGCCGGCCGGCCAAACCTGATTGGAGCCATATGCATAAGAACCTTGCCATTAACGAAAATAATTAATATAATGTGAGAAGGATATGGCCAATCTTTCATTTATTTCATATTATTTGTGATTTTGGGTGCAGGTGTGTACAGGAAAATGGCGACGAAAGTGAGCTCATTCCAAAAGCTACGCATTGAGAATTGACAATTAGTAATTGAAAAAGTCCTGAAATTTGATTTTACTTTGTTGACACTAATGATATATAATCTAACAGTGCATTAATTCATGTAATAATAATAATAATAATAATTAAGTTTGGTAAGGATATGTAAAGCATACCTGAAGATCAAGTGGACTGAGGAAAGGCACGTAATCACCAATATTGAATGCCCCTGACAAGAACAGAGCTTCCTGAATGGTCCCCTTGAGATCAAACATATCATCATTTTTACTCCCCAAAACCATCCTATATGTTATGTCCTCAACAAGCCCACCAACCTTCTCACTAAGATCCACCACTTCACCCGCTGCCGCGGCTTTCTTCAGCGACTGAATAAACAACCCCACCTCCTCCCTTCTCAGTGGAGCAGAACCCTCAATCTTTGATGGACAAAGAAGCTGCAGAGTGCAGAGCTTCCTAATATGCCGCCAGTATGGACCATATTCAGTGAAGGCCATGCCCTTTGTGCCGTAGGACATGTACTCGGAGGCTTGGACTTTGGGGCGGCTGGCAAAAATGGTGTCATGGGTTTTCAAGAAAAGCTCTGCAGCTGTGGGGGAGGAGACCACTATGGCGGGTATGTTGCCTAGGCGCATGGACATGATGGGGCCATATTTTTTGGCCAAGTGTTGGAGGCTGCGGTGTGGGAGGTTGCCTAGCATGTGAAGATTGCCAATGATTGGCAGTGCCCGAGGCCCAGGAGGTAGTTTTGGCCTTGAGGAGGAGGCAGTGATTATGGTGTGGAAGAGAGAGCAGAGGAAGGTGAGAAAGACCAGAAGGATGGCTATTATTGTTGGACTCATTCTAGCTTTCTGTGCCATAACAAGGTGTTTGATATTTATTTGGGGAATGCTAGCAACCTTCTCTCTAACCTTCTCCTTTGGACCTTCTCCATTTTCCTCATGACATGTGTCATTCTCATTACACTTAAAACAATGTCATTAATGCATTATACAAGCTAACTTTTGCTTTCCAAGTTTACCCTATTCAATTGATCTAATTTTTTTTTTTTGACAACTCTCTTACCATCTTAATAAATAAAAAATTTAAATTTTAACGTCAATTATTTTTTTGGTCTTTGCTTATTGTTTGTACAGGTTTTGGCTCTCCTCCCTTTTGCCTTGGGTTGTTATAAATGTTTCTCTTCATGACCATTAAAAAATAATAAAAATAGAGTAGAGCAACATATTATAGCCGCTTGTATAATATGGATGGAGACCACTCTTTTGTTTTTTCTTTTGTTAATCTAAACTGCAATTTATTTATTTATTTCATATTGAATTCAGTTTTGATGATTTTTTATTCTTTTGCTTCTATATATTTTATCTCAAGCCTATGCTGTTGGGGGATATTTTGGTTTATTTAGTAGCATAAAAAATGCAATCAAGCAATTTCCTTTATAATAAAAAAAAGTTAGTTTGTAAACTTTGTACCATTGAGGTGCTTACGGATGTGAATGA